CATGGCACCTTAAGAAAGCTCTAACTTCTATGCTTATAGTTCAACCTCTCAACTAAAATTTGCCTTCTGCGATGCTAATGATTATGTTGTAGGAGTAGTTCTTAGTTAAAGGGTTGATAAGAAATTGAATATTATACACCATGCAAGTAAAAGCTGACTGCCACGAAAATCAATCCCCTTATCAGGGATAAAATCCTAGGGGGCATGGTGATTTTAAGGATTAGCAGCATAATACAGCTGTGCTCGTAAGATCGGCGTGTTACAAAATTGAACTGGTCATAATAAAGTTCAAAAAATAAAAAGAACTGGTCATATTAGAAAAAGTTTTTTTTCGAGGGCACGCCAATGGCGTACCTTAGCTTTATAGAAGGAAGAAAAATATGTGCAAGAGATTACATATCGCTAGATAGGAGTCACAAACCGACCCTAACCAAGCCTCCACACCACTCCCTAGCTCTACTCGACTACTCTATGATCGGTTGTCCTCCGAAAGCTCTTGCTTTGGCCCAAGTCCTCAACTCATCAAAGATAGAGTCTACAGTATCCCACTCGTTCTTGATTATGACCATGCCGAAGACCCTCGCATTCCTTTGCTTCCATATCGTCCAACAGATTAGCATCATGAGGGTGTCAAAGCCTTTCCGAGACTGCTTATCTATCCGCTTTCTCGTATCTGTCCACCACTGCACCAATCTTGAGTCATTTGTTGGGCAAAGGTCGGCCGTCAAACCCACCCTAGTAGTGCAGCGGAACCACACTTGCCGCGAGAACACGCATTGCAGCAAAATGTGGTCCACTGTATCCTCCTCCTGGTCACACGTATAACATTTTGATGCTTGGTCTTGCAATCCGTGCCTAGCTCTCCTGTCCGAGGTCCATAAACGATATTGTACCGCAAGCCACATGAATAGCTTGCACGCAAGCGGTGCCCAACACTTCCATATGGCTCCGAAGAAATGGAATATGACTCCTCCCTCGCATAGCATCTTGTACGTAGATGACGCAGTGTAGACTCCGGACATGTTCCAAGCCCAGATGGGGCAGTCCTCGACCTGAGCGTCCAAATGAACTTCCAAGAGAATCTCCCAAAGGCCGATGAACTGGGTGAGACCCTCAGTGCATAGATTGCCAATTACATCGTCCATCCATGAATGCATGCACATCGCATCTCGCACAAGTCTCTTGTTTACCACTTGTGTCCGCACCTTTGCCACAACCAAGGGTGCAAAATCTTTAATAGCTGCTCCATGTATCCATCGGTCTTTCCAGAACAAGGTCTTGCCTCCTGAACCAACTTCCCATTTGACAAGGCTTCCAAAAGCTTGGTCCACCTTTTTGTCCGAGGTCAGGTTGAGGCCTTGCCACGGCCTGGAATCATCGGTGCGTCTAAGCCATTCCCATCTAAGTCTTAAAGTGATACCGTGCTTAGCCAGGTCAATGACTCCCAAGCCTCCCAAGTGTTTAGGCCTGCACACTCTAGCCCAGGAGACGACACATTTGCCTCCATTCACCGCCTCGGTTCCGTCCCAGAAAAATGCCCGACACCCCTTGTCCACTCTCTCCAGAGCCCACTTAGGTGCCTCCGCTATCATGAGGTGATGTGTAGCGTGTGCCCTCATTACTTGATTGACAAGTATGAGTCTCCCCGGCCTCGTCACGAGACCCCTTTGCCATCCAGGCAGGATGTGGAGAGCCGTGTCAACAATTGGCTACCACTCTGACCTTTTGAGTTGCCTGATGCTAAGTTGGAGCCCAAGGTATTTGCATGGAAAGGTGTCGATTCTCCATGGCAGTGCAGACTTAACAAGCTCTTCATCCTCATTTTCTGCTCTGATCAAGATTGCCGCAGATTTGGAATAGTTGACTTTGAGCCCAGATGCCACTCCGAATATAGCAAGGATTTCTTTAACGCACATGAGGTCTGGCCATGTTGGTTTTATGAAGAGCACCACATCATCAGCATACGGGGACAAGCGCTGCATTGGACTACATCCATTGATGGTACTAAGCACTCGCGCCTCATGCGCCTTGGAGATGATGGCCGTAAGCACGTCCATGGCAATAACAAACAACATGGGAGATATCGAGTCCCCTTGTCTCAATCCTTTAGCGTGCATGAACTTGTCACCAGCACATCCATTCACAAGCACCCTCGAGCTAGCGATGGTGAGGAAGATCGCAATCCAAGAGATCCAGCGCTCCGAGAAGCCCTTGGCTCTTAACACCTCAAACAGAAACGGCCACGCCAGCGAATCAAAAGCTTTGGTTATGTCAAGCTTGAGCATCACTCCCTTGGCTTTCCTCCTATGCATCGTGCGTGCCATTTGCCAAACCAAGAGAAAGTTATCATGCAAGCATCTGCCCTTAATGAATGCGGACTGGTTCGTTTGTACAAGCTCTCCCATGCGCGGTCTTAGCCTGGCGGTCAACAGCTTGGAAGCTATCTTGGGCATACTGTGCACCAGGCAAATAGGTCGAAAGTCGAACACCGCGCATGCATCCGGTGTCTTCGGTATCAGGGTGATCAGAGCTTGGTTGAGCCTTCCAAATCCCCTTCCATTGCCAAGGAAAAACTTGTGAATCGCAGCAACTAGATCCACCTTGATAATCTCCCACGCTTTTTGAAAGAAAATGCCAATGAATCCGTCCGGCCCAGGTGCTTTATCTGAATGCATATCCTTGATAACTGCCCAAATCTCATCCTCAGTGAACACGCGATCTTGGTCCGAAAGATCAATGGTCGTGACACCAAGCCCCTCCAAGTCAAGTGTGAAATCTCGGGCTCCATCCTTGCCTAGCAGATCCTTGTAAGCTTTGTAGAAGGCTTCCTCTTTGCCTTTCTGATCTGTAATGATGCACCCATCCATGGTCAAGGAAGGGATGTAGTTTTTCATACGTCTCCCATTCGCTACCAGGTGGAACAACTGCGTGTTAGCATCCCCTTCTTGAAGCCATGTAATTCTTGACCTCTGTCGCGCAATAGTCCTCTCTAGGGACGCCAGTCCAAGTATAAGCTGTTTTAGGGTTCATCTAAGCCATCTCTCCTCCTCAGTCAGACTACGACTCTCCTGAGCGCAATCAAACCGCATGATGACTATGTTCGCAATAGCGATTTGCAGCTTTATGTTCCCGATCTCCTTCTGCCCCCATCTAGCAAGCGCTCGGGCTGTGTTTCGTAGCATGATGTCTAAGCGCAAGAACGGGTGTGTGATATCCGGATCACAGACCCAGGCCTCCTTGACTACATCCAAAAATCCATCCATTTTGACCCAGAACTTTTCAAAACGGAACCTCCTTCTGGCATGCATGTGCTCCTCAAGAGCAAGATGGAGTGGGCAATGATCGGAGTGCTCGGTAGATAAAGCTTGCAGCAGGCACTCCGGGTGGTCTAGCTCCCAATCTACGGAAACAAACGCACGATCGATCTTTGTGAGCGTGGGCGTCTCCCTTTCGTTGCTCCACGTGAATTTGCGTCCATGCAAAAAGAGCTCCTTGAGCGCGTTATCATCCACAAACCGCTTGAACTTCCCCATCATTCTCCTTTCCAAATTAGAGTTGTTTTTGTCTGCCGCATAAAGGATGAGATTGAAGTCTCCCAAGACGAGCCATGGCCCTGGACATAGGGATCTCCGCTCCGAAAGTTCATTGAGGAAGTTAATTTTGCGCTCATCTTCCTGAGGCCCATATACTACTGTGAGCCACCATGGCTCTCCCTCCTTGGGCGATTCGTACGCCGAAATGCTGTGGGAGTCATTTACATAATTTGACAGGAGGACCCGTGTGGTGTCCCATGCCACAAAGATACCGCCTCTCGTGTCCGACGCCGGTAAGTAAGTGAAACTATCATAGTTCGGCCCCATGCATTGCAAGATTACAAAAGTGTCCACCACCTCAAGTTTAGTTTCTAGGATACAAACAATCGCCGCGCGAGTGGAATCCACAAAACCCCTAAGTGCCTTCCTTTTGGCCGGACTGTTAAGGCCTCTTACATTCCAACACACTAACTCCAAAGCATTGAACGACATCAGAACGAAATTCCTCCAACATCACCGGCACCAACGTGCCTACTGCGCCAAGATCGGCTCTGCCATCCCTGCCTCCTCTGCGAGGTTGAGCGGTATTGCCTTCCCAAAGATAGCCGTGATGGCCCTCAACTGCGGCTCCTGTAGTGGTGAGTCGAAGACTGTACGGAGCTGACCTAGCGCATCTTCCGAGACTGCCAGATCATCACAGTCCAGGCCCAAGGTTCTAAGCAGCACCGTTTCGGCTGCCGAGGCCTTCGTCTTCCTAGAGCTACTTGCACAGACGGATCGAGTTGTGCGGCGTGGGGTAAACGGGTCATGGCCTGGTTTAACCGCTCGCAGCCCTTCGAACTCTTTGAGAAGCGGTGGGGCAAGCTTTTTAAGCAACCCAGCGCAAAACGCCTTTATGTTCCCAAGCGCTGCGATTTCTACCATCACATTATATTCCAACCATTTGAACGCATCATCTAGTATCTAACAACGTGTCGCCGCACCACCAAACGGTGACCTTATTGCTCCTTGCTAGATCACCAGTCCTGTTAAATAATGTTTTCTTATCAGATACTCATCCACCCTCCAAATCATTCGTTTCATACTCCTACCATTTGTTTTTTTGACGCGGCAGTTCCTTGTTTCTCAACTTAACTTACACCTGTGACGAAAGGGAGATGGGAACAAGAAAGCTGTCCATCCAAGCCAGCCAGCCAGCCAGCCAAGCCAAGCCAAGGCGACAACGTTGATGCAAATGCAAGCGCAAGCTGTGCGGCCGCAATAATACCACCACAGCACACCACACGGAACCGAAATTTTAGGTGCACGCCCTCCTCCCCCCTCCCCTTCCCAATCCCCAAACCAGCGCCGAAAATCGCATCGCGCCGCGCCGCGCCGCCACCAGACGCCGGGTTTGGCGGGTTGGGGCGCTCCCGTGGCCGCCGTTGCTGTTGCCGCGTGTCCGCCCTGGCGGTGGCGGTTGCATGTATGCGGGAGGGGAGAGCCAATGGTGGGGTCGACGGAGAGAGAGGCGGCGCTGATGCCGCCGCCGGTCTCGTGGGCGCGCTTCGGCGGCAGAGGCCGGGCCAGTCCCACCCGTCCTCGTCCGGCTCGGCCGCGTCGGCGGAAGGGGGAGCCAAGAAGCAGGGGAGGCGCAAGAGCAAGCGGCGGGAGCAGGTCGTGAGGGCGATTCGGGACCGGCTGCCTCCCCCGCCCGCTTGCTGGGGCAACGTCTCGGTGGTCCAGGAGAGGAGGGGCCGGAGGGAGAGGCCTGACGATCACGGCCGCGGCGACGCCGTCCGCGGCGAGGAGGAGGGGCGCTCTGGCGCGGGAACCGCCGCGTTGCCGGCGTGGTGCTGCCTGTGCCCCGAAGGGGACTGCTCGCTGGAGCCCAACCCGAGCGCCAACGGCAAGGAGGACCCCGGCCTCCGCTCCCTCATCGAGCGCAACGACTTCTACTCCGACGACTGCAACCCGCACGCCGCCGCCGCCGCCGCCGCCGCCGAAGAGGACGACGACGACGACGCAAGCCCCGCCGCCGATTTTGATTAGGTGCCCGTCGATCCGCCGTTCGTTACTGCACATTGCTGTACAAAAAATTTTACATCCGGAAAAAGAAGGTATACACAGGTTTATTTTTTCCTCGTGTTGCGTGGCGTCCGGTCGAGTTCACCTTCCCCGTGCTTCTTCCACCGTCGGCATGTAAAGCATCTACCGCGTGAGAGCCATCGGACACGGTGGTGCCAAAAGGAAACGACGGGCGATGGATTCTCCCTCGTCTTTTGCATCTTTGTCTCATCTCATCTCATCTCATGGCAGTCAGTGCGTTCGACTGACTACTCCGTGATCGACTTTGCCAAAGTATTGGTTGATGTCCCACGGCGCGAGAGCCTTTTTCCCATTGCCTTTTCCGCTGCGCTTTGAGATGAAGCTGTGCAATCCGAAGTGTACCTTTCGTATTTGGCGGCTGACTTGGCCAGCGGGTGACGTGTAGGTACGCACGTACTTTACTTGTTGTGCTTCCCACGATAAGAAATGATCTGACGAAGAGTACAGCATGGTCGGGCAATCCCAGCGCCCAGGTCATCTATGTTTCGACCTTATTTTGTCCATCCGTAAAAGTCGGCCGATTTTCTTCTCGCGTGGGCTGAGTGGGTTCTCTGTTGGCTGGCGAAGAGCGAGCCAGAACGGTCTTCTTATCACCTCGGGACGTTCGTGCTGTTGAGAGCTCCACGGTTTGATTGGATTCTCATGGTCCACAGCAGCAAAACAAGAAACGAGGAGCCCAACGATGACAACAGCGAAGGAAGAAACCAGCTCCAACATCGCTATCAGACGGGCGCGACAATTGCCAATTGGATTGGCACCCACCCAAATCATACTACCAACTGGTAGGCAGAAAGTACATGGATTTTGTAAAACCTCTCACCAGAAATGAACTGAACTGTTTGAGCCTAAGGAGAAAGGCTACTACGGTCTCTCAGGATTCTTTCAGATTACATTTACCACAACACACTTGGGACGCTTGCATATAAAAGCCCTTGAACCAAAAGCCACCGTCGCGCGTGGAAATGGACGAAACCGGCCATTTTTTGAAACTTGACACAAAATGACCCAATCTGGAAATATTTCACAAACTGGCCGCCAGATCTTGCCTTGCTACACTCACCCGACCGTCATCGCATGCTGACACGACATGAACACTACGGCATCAAAGAGCACAATATCAAGGATGTAACTGAAATAAACAATCGCAAAGAAACAGCTACAACATGGTTCTATGACAATGATTGTGTGTTGTGTGAGCACAAAGTCCTGCGAGTATAAGTAACTGTCACTTTCACAAGTCACTGCCCTCTTGAGCCTTCTAGGACCAGCAGATCTTTGTGATATATATACAAGAACTGAATGCAAAAGAATAACGTAGCATCTGATTCTGATCCTTTCGAGCACACTGGTAGCTTAATTTCTACTACCTTATTTATTTTTTGAATCATCCGAATTATACCTTGTTCTGGATATATCTTAGCTCTTTGGGTGGCAAACACTACGCGTTCTGATTTATCAAATGTTGGGAGGGAGATGACACACAGAAGGTAATCAATCGTCCTACAAGTGATGACTGCAATAAAGTCTTTTAAGGATTTAAGTCACTTCTTGTGGGCGGAGTTTTTTATCCGAGGCTCGTCTACTCGTGCGATAAATAATAAAAAGTACAAAGCACCGTAAATATAATAAAAAATACTGGCATTACCATCTCGAGATCTCTTTGGCCTGTGGGGAGGTGCGTCCCTACCATGTCCGCTGACAAAGAGATGCAGGCTGCGTTTGCCAGTTTGGTTCACTGGAAAGTTGGAGATGGGAACCGAGTGCTGTTTTGGAAGGATAGATGGGTCAATGGAATGTGAATTGCTGAGATTGCTCCGCTGGTGACTAGGAAGGTTAGAACCCAGACGGTGAACAAAATATCGGTGAGGGAGGGCCTCTTCTTAGGCAATTGAATCAACGATATCAAGGTGAGTTATCCACAGATGGACTGATGCAGTTTATTCACCTATGGGAGACCCTTAGCGAGCTGAACTTGGATCCAAACGTGGGTGATCAGGCCATATGGAAGTGGAATGCCGCGGGCCAGTACTCGGCAGCATCAGCGTACCGGATCATGAACGAGGGAGCTATTAAACTTGGATGCGCTAAGGGGTTGTGGAAGTGCTGGGCCCCACTGGCATGTAGATTGTTCATGTGGCTGGCCGTGAAGCGCAGATTTTGGACTTCTGACAGACGATTTCGACATGGGTTGCAAGATGCCACGCTGGTCTGCTTTCTGTGTGATCAGGAGGAGGATTCGGTTGATCATATTATGCTACAGTGCGTCTACTCGAGGCAGGTGTGGGTCCAATGCTTCAGGTGGGCCAATATAAACCTGCAGCTTGTGCCTTTGACCTCGGAGCGGTTGCAAGACTGGTGGCCCAGATCCCGGAAGAGCATGCCAAAGGGACTTCGAAAGGGGTTTGACTCTTTGGTCATGTTGATTTGTGGGAGTATTTGGACGCAACGTAATGGGCGAGTATTTGGAGGAAGAGACACAATCAATGAATGGGAGCTATCGACAAGGATTTATCACGAGTTGCGACTTTGGTTAGCGGCAGGAGCTCGGAGTGTACATCAGTTGTGTGAGTAGTCGGGTAGTGTGGGTGTAGGGGTTTTGTTGGTTTCCGCCGGAGTGTGGCGCGAGCCTGAAAACTCTTCTTGTAAATATTTCCTTCTTCTATAAAGCTTAGGTACGCTCTTGGCGTACCCCTCGAAAAAAAGAAAATGCTTTTCTCTTGACCCCCCCTTCTTCGGAGGAGATTGACGCGACTGTCGACTCCTCGAACTCCAATTCTGCGTCCAGGCCTGATGGTTTTTCGATTACCTTAAGTCTTTGGTCTATGTTGTTATTCAAGGGTTTTGTTTGGGGATGGTTGATATATCTCGTCTCAATTACACTATCCTCTCTCTCATCCCCAAGTCAAAGGTGTTGGTTCTATTCGTCAGTTTATGACCATTGTTTTGATCAATAATTTCGCCAAATTCCCGGCCAAGGTTTTTGCTACCAAGTTGTCGCCGGTTGCACATCATGTCGTTAGTCAGAATCAGTCTGCCTTTATCAAGGGGCGCTTTATTCTTGATGGGATTCTCAGTCTCCATGAGATTGTCCATGATCTTAGGGCAAGGAACTCTAGGGCGGTGATACTCAAACTGGACTTGAGAAGGCTTATGATTCTGTTAGTTGGGATTTTCTCTGCTCTACTCTTTAAAGGCTTTGATGGAGCCTACATTCACCGGCTCATGCAATTTCTCTTGGGTGGACACACGACTGTGGCTATTAATGGGGTAGTGGGCCTTTATTTCGCCAATGGTCGGGGCCTTAGACAAGGAGACCCCATCTCTCCCATTCTCTTTAATTTTGTGGCTGGTGCATTCTCTTGCATCCTCTCTAGAGCTGCTAATGCGGGTCACATATCTCCTGTGGTTTCTCACCTGATCCCCTCTGGCATCTCACACCTGCAATATGCTGATGATACTATCATTATGATTTAGGCTGATGACCTTTGTATTGCCAATCTGAAATTTATTCTGCTTTGTTTTGAGGCACTTTCTGGACTCAAGATTAACTTTTCTAAGAGTGAAGTCATTTTTACTGGCGTTTCTAAGACCGTTGCAATTTAGGATCCTTTCCGTTTAAATATCTTGGTATACAAATCGCTCAGTATAGGCTCTGTGCTAAAGAGTTCGCGCCAGCTATTACTAAGGTGGGGAACCCGGTGATGCCTTTGCGCGGTCACTATAATTCCTCTGCTGGCAAGGCCCGCTTGATCAATTCTTATCTCTCTTCCCTCCCTATGTTTCTGATGGGTTTTAACCGCCTTTTGGAAGGCACCCATGCTGGGTTTGACAAACATTGCACCATTTTTTAACTCTACAACAAGCGTTAATACAGACTCTTAAGTGGAAACTCATATGTAAGACCAAGAACCTTGGGGGGTGGGGCATTTTGTATACTTCTGTGATGAACAAGTGTCTTATTATCAAATGGTGGTGGAGGATTCTTAATTCGGGGGCTAGGACTTTGTGGTTTGATCTTTTGAAAGCTAAATATTACTTAACAGTAGCCATCTGTTTGCACCTACTGTGGGTGGTTTCCTGTTTCGTGATATGGTGAAGGTGAAAGATGTTTTTCGTGATCACGTCAAGTTTGTGGTAGGTAATGGCTCTTCGATTCGTTTTTGGCTGGACTGGTTGTGTGGGTGATTGAAGGAAATATGCCCTAGAGGCAATAAAGTTGTTATTTTAAATTTCCTTACTCATGATAAATGTTTATTATTCATGCTAGAATTATATTAATCAGAAACTTGATACATGTGTGAATACATAGACAAAACACTGTGTCCCTAGTATGCCTCTACTAGACTAGCTTGTTGATCAAAGATGGTTAAGTTTCCTAGCCATGGACATGAGTTGTCATTTGATAAATGGGATCACATCATTAGTGGAATGATGTGATGGACAAGACACATCTGTTAGCTTAGCATAATTGTCGGCGTTCTGGATATGGGGGTATCCAGACTTGCTTGCCTGCGGCCCACCACGTGGCTCCATCGACGGCCTAGTACGACCCAGCTTCGACATCAACAACTCAAGACCCTCGCGAGGGGCCAAGCCTCGCGAGGGGGACGATGCCAAGACCCCCGAGGGGACCGGCCTCTTCAGGCTGGCTCCCGAGGGGCGGAGAGTTCCATGCAAGGTGCACCTCACGAGGCTTAGCTGACGTGAGCCATGACGACCAAGGCCACGCGGGCGCCAGCGGGCGCAGAGCGCCAGTTTCCTCTTTAGTGCAAGGGAGGCAAGCCACAGGCGCTGAGTCCCGAGGAATCAGCCAAAGGATTCTTTCAGATTACATTTACCACAACACACTTGGGACGCTTGCATATAAAAGCCCTTGAACCAAAAGCCATCGTCGCACGTGAAAATGGACGAAACCAGCCATTTTTCAAAACTTCGACACAAAA